CAAACTCAAATGCCACTAAGAAATTTTAGTTTAGATACAATACTGTGTAGGACAAAGAGGGACAAATTTTCTGCCTCTACTGAGTTTTGCCTCCAACTCAGTGCCTAGGGTGTGTAACCTCTGAGGTCTCAGTTTCCTCTACCATTTGATGAGAGAGTAGAGGCTGGCTAGTGTCCCAAATCCTTCCAGCTCAAAATAAGGCCAGTCTAAAACTGGTGCATCCTCTTGGAATCTATTCTTATACAAACAGAGTAAGAATATTGTGTCAGAAATGACTTACAGACACAAATAATCTCAAGTCACCTAATATTTCCTTTAAGTTTATGTGAGGGATGATGGACTTTAAAGAATTAAAATTTCCTTCTAAAGAAAACACTGAACATACAGCAAACACACAGAAAAAAAAGAATTAAAATTTGTTTACCCATCTACTCTAGTTTAAAGATCTACCCCAGTTTAAAGATCTGGGATTTCTGAGAACAAGTGCAGATTCAGTAAAGTCATGCTTCTTCCTCAGAGATTATTTAAAAAAAAACACCAAAAACCCTGTAGAGTTCTAAAACATCCAGATTCACAAATCAGTTATTTGGCAGAAATGTAAAGAATGGATACAAATCACAGTAATGACAGAGGCAAAGTTATTTTACATATGTGTGAAGGTTACAGATCATACAGTCATTCAAAAACTCTTAGAAGCTACATTATAGCCTGGAACTCATGTCAATGCAAACTCAGGAGTGGAGGTCATCCTCTAATTTTGGCAGACTATGACTCTTATGCTGAACAACGGCTTCAGAGTCCTCCAACCTGGCTGCAGAAAACACCAACACTGGGTTTTTACCAAGACCAAGGAGGATTTCCAATTCTGCTTCTCAAATCTTTACAATAACATTGCATTATTTATTAATGCTTTAAAACTAAACACTGTAGTGCATTTCTGAACAAAAAGTATATCAGTTCTATATAGCTATTGCTTATAAGTCATCAATTCTAAATGACTGGGTATCACTACACAGTTAACTGAGCCCTAAACAAGATCTAACATCTACTGAATTCCTGTCATAACTAAAATGAAGAATTTCTTCACTCAAAAGGTCAAAATGAAAAAAAGTCTATATTCTTATGTTCCTCAACTTATTCAACAGAGTAGGTGGACGTTACACTTATAGAAACATGCTTTAAAAAAAATATATGGTTTCCAACAAGGTAAACTTGTGTTTGCTTTTATACTGTCTTCTATTCATCTCAGTTAAGAAAGCCTGAAGCACAACTGCCATAATTCATTTTTACACTGATCTTTCTGCTTCCAACAGGCACACACTCTGACTTACACTCCACCTTCATCATTAATTTGTCCTTTTCTGATTCTTTCACAGGCTCCAGGTCCTGTGGGGTTCTGACATGAAGAAGAGGCCATTATAACAAGCTGAATACTGAGCTCTGGAAAGGCCCAAGCTACTGCCTTCTTTCCAAAAGGGAAACTGACATTTTGAAAGCTAGCTTTTCAAATAACCAATCTCACTTTCACTGACAGAGCTGTCAATGGGGGAAGAAGGCAAAAACAAAACCAACAACAGAAGTGTGCTGCAACAAGCTATTACACAAGGAAAGCAAAAGCACATTGAAAATCAAATCTCTGAGCCATAGCACTTAAACATGTAACACACGTGTTTTCTTGTATTCATTTCTGCTTCAGAAAGGAATAAGGAGCTACATGCACTGCAAAGTAGAACAGAAGAAATATTTAAAATATAAATATAACTTTTTTCTTTCTTTTTTAGAAAGAATACTGCAGACATAAAAAGCAAAATTCACAGCCAACAGGCACAGGACTTACAGAGACAGCCTTTGCCAAGTGTACTCTGTATGACTTATACAGAATAATTTCAACTTTCTCTCTCTCTCTCTCTCTCTAATTAAGGAGGTGTTGCATTCTAAGGAAGCTATATGGACGCTACTGGATGAAGTACAGATTTGCTCTTTTTGTGTTGGTTAGCCAACACTGATTTTCATTAATCATTAATATACATCAAATGATATCAGTAAATTCATCAATATGTTGAAGGATACTCATTAACTTCAAAATGGTGACAGACTCTGGGGTTACATCATTTGTAGCAAACGGAGATACTTTTTGTTGGTTATGTAATTCCTGCATTGAAAATAGTATTCTGTAGCATATTTTTTGTACATTTCTACTCATTTTGATACACTACTATTCAATGGAAGGAAATAACAGAATTCTGTTATAGTTGTTGGCTGGGCAATGCCACAATGAAACATCTCTGGCACCCAGGTGAGCAGCCCAGATCATCCTCCTGCGAGTCTCATGTCACACACATGCCATGTGTTCTGGGTCTGGTAGGTATGAGTGCATCTTAGTGTGGTGGCAAGAATGACCATCAAGTAGTCATGACAGAAGTGCTATACCACACAGATTCCTAGACAAAACAGCAGCAGCAAAGAGGGAAAGGATACTGGAGTAGGTAATTCCACTGCTTTTATGGAGACAGAAATTATTTTCCTTCTCATGCATGAAGAAAAACAGCCATGCCAGAAGTCATGCAGAAAGGACTCCGAAGGTGACATGTGATTTTCTACCAAATTGCCACACACCTGTTGAGTGCTCTCTTCAGCGGCATGTATACTAAAATTGGAAAAAGAAAAAAAGAAAAAGCACACCACATGCTACGCCATCCCTGTCCCTGGGCACTCTAAGCTGGCCACTGAGACCGGACATGGTAGCACATACATGTAATCCCAGCTCTGGAGAGGATTAGTATGAGTCCAAACTACACAGGGAGACCCTGTACTAAGTACATTAAAAAAAAAAAAAAAAAAAGAAAGAGAAAAAGAAACACAACAAACAAAAATAGAAGGACGAGCCCCTCTAAGATAGATTTCCTGTGAGGTATTTTGAATCCTTGGATTCCTTCTGCAGTCAGATGACGTGTTTAAAAGAGAATGTCCAAGGCTAGCTTGGCAAACCCAGGGCATTATTCCATCTACCAGTCAGGGTGGCACATTACAGGAGCTTAGATGATGGGAAGAAAACATGGGATGGGGATGGCTGGGACAAGCAGGTGACCTAATGGTCGATTAAAGTAGAACAGAAGAGCCTCTTTAGATATAGTCTAAAACACAACTCTGAGTCCCCTGTTCATGTGCTGCTTCACATATAGGTGTGAGGATTACAGGAAGGGGCAAACAAGCAGAATATTCTGAATCATGGATCTGCCAGGTCATGGGTCTTATAAAATTCCTTCAAAGAGGAAAAGAGTAGAAGACAGGGCAAAGGAGAGGGAAAGGTGAAGATTCTCTGATCTAATCTCAAATCTGAGATCTAATTTCACAACTAATCTCAGTTTAGAGATTTGACTTTGGCAAAATAAAAAATTAACAGTCCCATCTTAAATGGGCAGTTTGTAAAGACAAGGCTCAAGAATGGTCTACTGATTGGGAGGAAGAAATAAAAATATATGCATGGATGTTTTTGAAAATTAATTTCTATAAGCTATATACACTGATTTGGAAAGGGAACACAGCAAGACTTTAATCAAGCAGAATTCTGCCTTAATCTCTGTGGTTTTCTTCCTCTCAAATCACCGACAGAGGCCTCATGCCAAAAGCAATCACATAGTTTCTACTTAACAGATGGAAAATAACTTGTGCTTTATGAGTTCCAACCATGGACAATCCATTTATATCTAAATTAGTCTACCAGACACCCGAACTAGTCTTCATAGACAGGTTTATTCCAACAGTCCCTAGAGCAATGGTGAGGAACCCACGGTGCACACACCACAGCTGGCTGTTGGTTATCATTGAAAGCTCTGAAAGGTCTGCCATCACTGCCCTAGAGCTTTGGGTTCAGCTGCAAGGTGAAGGGTGGGGTGCAGAACACTTTAAATGACTGTAATGTGGGAGGGAGAAAAGAAAGGACCCAGGAGAGGAAAGTAGAGGGGGAGGAAGGGAGGGAGAAGATGATTTTCATTTTAATTCCTCAAGATAAATTTATTATTATTTGGAGTAAATAATGAGACCAAGATACTCCTACCATGACAAAATAGCAGTTTCAGAGAAAAAGAACAGAGGGACACATTTTAACATACACACCTGAATGCAGACACTTAGTTTTTGCTATATAGTAATTCCCTCTGGCAAAAGTTAGAATCTATCTTTTCTTCTGAAGAAACCACTGAGGCACAACTTTTAATGTGTTTCATTTAAAAATATATATACATCTTTTAAAACACAGTCATCTTTCACTTACAAATTTCTAGTTATTTTTATTAGCACCAAATACTTAATATTTAGAACTAGGACTACAAACAAGCTTAAGCCTTGCTCTATCAACTTAAACTCCTTTAAACATTATCTTTGTTTTATTAACCATATTTTGGCTCGGACAGATGGAAAGGTATAACCAGAAAAGCAAAACACAGCAAAAAGATATAGAATGTTTAAATCCTCCACACACACATTTACACCAAAACACAATATACATGTGTACACATTCAAAACTTTTAAGATTCTTACAGTAAACTTTAAAAAGTGGAAATGAGGACATGTGTCTTTTTCAGCATTTTAGATTTTAAATAACTTTTGGCTTTACTGTTTCCTACTTCAAACTCATGTTTTAAAATGGAACTATACACACTTTCCCTTACAAGATCTGCTGTGCTGGTTGCAATGAGTATCTGTAGACCTTTCAAGCACACTCCAACAAAAATGACACACCCACTTCTCAGATTCCTTCCTCCATGGATCATAAAACATGCTGTTACTTATTTACTTCTCTAACTTTTCTATTACAGAATATATTTAATGCAAAATACAAAACAAAAATCAAACCAAAGCAAAACAAAAACCCCAACAGCCAAGGAAAAGTATATTCAGTTATTTTTATGTACTCTAGTGAAATGGGGCAGTGCCTAGTCCTTACGTGGTCATATGTCAACATGCAGAATATCAGCCCCGCATTATCCTGAATGGCCTACCTGCTTTGTGCTGAGTTTGCAGCAGCCTGCATCACGGCTGCAGCAGCCTCCTGTGCCTTACGGTTCACAGTGGGCATTGGTGGCCCCATTCCTGGCCCACCCTGCTGAGATATGCCAGGAGAACTGGGGGTCACGCTGCTCATGTTTCCAGGAAATGGTCTGTTCTGCATCCCAGCTGACGGCATTCTTCCCAGGGGCATAGCACCACATGGCTGGCTTGGCCCTTGTCCATGCATCTGGTTGTTGGCATTGATACCCATCCCGGGCCCTGGGCCGCTGTAGCTTGCACTGGGTACCCCACTATACGTTGGGGGTCTGGAGTAGTTACCTAAACAAAAAGCAAACACAAATTAAGACCTATTTAACTTTTAAATTTGTGAAAACATTTGAAGGAAATACTGTCTAACAATGTGCTCACCACTGAGTGTTAGTCATGGTCTACTAGCCCTTCCTGCTGGTGTGGATGAGGCCAGTAGTCTGTAAATATGCTCTCTGCACATATTCCTAAGGTCCAAGAAGGTAAACCCAAAGACAAAAAGCACACATGAGCTCCTGAAATGGGGAGGGGAAAGGCAGGCCACTTTGATGGTGAGCAATTAGAACTGGTAGTTGTTTTAATATGTTCAACACCTTCCATTCTTAGGTTTGAACCCAAATCATAATTTCAACTCCTGGCCTAATATGAGACAAGCCTAACACAGCACATTTAGGACCAACTACAGAAATTGTTGGCATCATGCAGGTGTCACTCTTTTCCCCTGTGTGTGTACCTGCTATAGACAAGGATGGAAGATGAGTCATGACTTCTCATTTCAGCCTCTGCCTGTTTGTGTCCCCTCATGCCACCATTTTGCTGAGCCCAGGGTCACACTAGCTTTTGGAATCTAAGATAAAAAGTAAAGGCATCAAACTGATAAACTATGTTGCTTTCAATAAATGACTACTAAAATTTAAAAAAAGCCAAAAGACTAGTGTTTGTAGAACATATATTATAGTCCTAGTCACATCTTTTGGGAAGACCCTCCTCATCTATGTAACCCAACTATACACTCATCATATGCCAGCAACCGTTCTAGGTAAAGGTTACATATAGGTGTGAGTTAGCACACTGGATTCCTGTGCTTCGGACGCTTGTCATCTGTATGCATACATATGTGTGCACACTTGAGCTGGAGTAGGAAGGGCAAAGATTAAAATAAAAAAACAACAAACATAAAGGCACAAAGACCAAGGCAAGAGCAGGGCTGACTGGGACTGGGGCTCAGGAAACTCTCTGCGGAGCTATGAATACATAGATATTTCTTTGGACAAGCAGTTCCGGAACAAGTGGTCAAGCTTTGGCATTGAGAGGTTGCAGCAGGCACTTAGGTAACCTGTTCTCCTTGTGCTCATTTTCACAGTTTTCTCTGTGAGAAAAAGTCAACTGCCTCTGACATTGTGCAGCTGAAGAACAGGACCAACTGGTACATAAAGGTAAGTATCCTCAACATAAATAAGAAGTGGTAGGATCTATTGCTGGATGAGAACAGGGGAAGAGGGGAGGAAGAATATTCATGAATTAGGGAACATGATTGCTGTTCAGGGGCAAGAAAATGTTCAAGATAGTCACTGAGGAGCTTTCTGAAGCTGTGGGGTATCAGGGAGAAGAACCTACAGCTATTTGGAAGCCCTTGAGAGCCAGGTTTCTAAGTTTGGGATTTATCCAAAAAACAAGGAGGAACATCTCAAGGATTTCTAGCAGAAAAAACTGGATTAACAACAATACTAAAAATAAATACTTAATTTACTATGTGTGAGGATTAGTTCCAAGTTCTTTGTATTAATTCCTTATACACAGCCTAAGAGGATAAGCTATTGGAATGTTCCTGTTGGAGGTGAGCAACTAAGTAAGGTACAGGCGAGGGTAGGTAACGTCAAAGTGAATAACTGGAGAAGCCAAGATCTGACTCAGGCAGGTGAGTGCTGCTCACAGCCTAAGAACATCACACTGTGATATGCTTGCCCCTCTGATATCTAATTGCACACTTGCATAATAATAGAATCATACCTGTGAAATCAGTTTTTCTTAAATCCACACATATAAATCACTACTTTTTTTTTTTTTTTTCAGAGCCAGGGATTGAACTCAGGCCCTTGTGCTTGCCAAGGAAGCACTTATTCTACTGAGCCATCTCCCTGGCCCCCCATAAATCACTACTACATACAAATCTACAAGAAATTTTACAGACACATGTATCACATAAAAGGCATTTCTTTTTACCTCCTGATGATGTGTTAGGCACCATTCACATTAAGATACTTTTCTGCCAAGGGCCACATAGTAAATATTTTGGGCTTTGTGGGCCAAATAGTCAATCACAACTTTTCAGCTCTCAACTTCAGCCTGATAACAGTCACACAGGAGGGTTCCAACAAAAGTTTTATTTACAATAACAGGTAGCAGGCCAAAAAGTGTGCTGTGACCTCTTAGCAGAGCTCTGATGTGGACCAATTTTGGGATGCACCAACAAACTGCTATACTAGCAAAAGAGTGGACCTTGCTTAAGCCAGGCATATCTTTAAACGTGGCACTATTTGGAGACTTACGGAAGGGGGTAAGGATATTCTCCAAACAGCGGTGTGTGTGTGTGTGTGTGTGTGTGTGTGTGTGTGTGTGTGTGTTTAACAGCGAACCAAAGGAGTTACAAATAGAGGGAGATGTCAGGCTGTGCAGAAATAAGCTCTCATTGTTTTCAGGTTACAGGTTACAAATAGTCGAACCTGTTAATTAATTTCTAAGCTCCTCATAGAAGGTTTTGAAGGTCTCACCCTGAGATGCAGGCAAGTTTGTGGGCTGTCTCCCCCATATCATCTTGGTGTAAAGGCTTTTTTCCCAAGTTCTTCTCTTTGAGCAGAAACTTGGACTCATCTTCCTCCCTGTTTTCAGAGTACCTTGCTTCCAGATTACATGACAAGATTAGTGAAATACAGTATTCTTCTTGACCTTTTGCTTTTGTTACAATATACTGGTTCATAGCTAGACAGTACAAGTAATTAATATACATACTTATACTATTACTTAGTGGCTGCTTTCCACTGTCCCCAATGCTTGATAAGTAATTCACTTGGTAAGAGATAAAAACATAGTACTCTATTTACTTTGGAAGGAAATGAAATAACACTTTAATTTCATATTAGAAAACAAGCATATGGACACAGTTATTGTAAACTATACTCATAATGTGGCTTCACTGGAGAAAGAAGGTCTGATGCTGTTGAGCTGCTTACAACGCTGTTCTTTTGAGTCCTCCAATCTTGGGTCTCAATGGCCGTTAAGAGCTGTACCTTAGCACAGGTGGAAAGTCACTGAGAAGCCAGTGGCCTTGCACCCTGCTCCCAGCTCGCATTGCTAATATGGACTAAGAAGAAGCTCAGAGCTATTTTCCACAGCTGGGTTTGCTGGGTAGACAGTCTTTATTTCCTAGCAATAAGCACTCCATGACTGTCAGGCCCAGAGTGCAGCAACATCACCACGCCCTTGACACTGTGTGTGCGCTCTGAGGAGTACATCCAGCACTGGGCTCACTGCTACTTTTCTCCAATCAACTGAATTGACAAAAAAGCATACATTTGGGCAAGTGTGCTAATTATGGAAGATTTTGTTTTGAAAAAAAATTACAAAAATCTCCTTTTCTTTTCCTGAAACTGTTAAGATATTCATCACTAAACTTGCAACCTGGATAAAAACATATTTTGAAGTCTCCAAATGCTTGCCAAAGTAGCAAGGGAAGAAGTATGGACTTTTGAACAAGATCTCAGCACTGGTTGTGATACTTTCTGGCACATGACCTTCACAAATTACTTAACCTCTCTGCACAGTGGTACTGTCATCTGGAAAGTGGCATTGTTAATGGGGAGCAGGTAAAGCAAGGAGCGCAGTTCTAGGCAGAGCAGCCTAATGAATGACAGCTGCCCTCACCATGGTCCACCAGTGGAACAAGATGATCTTTCCCTGCCATCCTTTAAAGACATGGCTGGGGAAAAATATAGCTCACCCCCCACTCATACACATAACCAACAGCGTATCTTTCTCCTCCAAATAAGCAGAAACTAAATATATAAGCCAAGCAAAGGAATAGGAAAAGCCAGGAATGAGAAGTACAATCTTTTTTCCATGTTTCGCTAATAGATTAGTAATTTGTTGGCACTAGCTTTGACAGAAAACAGATGGATGCAGCATTAAGCACAATGAAGGCAGCAGATGCTGGGCCAGCCCACCTCAGCTGGACTGGTCTTCCAGCCAAATCCTAGAGCCCACAGTTTTCAAGTGGGTTCATCTTGGCACACCAGCTTTGGAAAATTGGTCACCAAATGAATTCAGATTTCAACCCACCAGGAGTTATATTCAAGCACCAGAAAGAGGAAGCAGCAGCTAGACTATTCAAGTTGCCACCATTATTTTAGGAGAATTGCAAATAATTTTGCATCTGACTCTAGAACGTTTAAATTTGGTAGTCATAAAGCTCTAAGCTTGTTGCTTTCATTAAACTGAGTATTTCCACTCACACAAGAAATTTTCCTTCTCAGTTTCAACCATTCAATAATTACAGATGACTACTGTAAGCAAGGTTCTACATTATTCACCTCTACTGAGGAAGATATAAAAGGCATGCTTCATAAATTAGATAGTCAAACCTGGGTGGAAAAAAATGCAGTTATATACTATTATAAGTGTATTTGTGCAGCAGGTTTTTGAAATTAGCAGTTAATTGGTAGGATTCTCACCCTGCTTAACTGTATAAGCTGATACCTGTGAACCAAGCAATTGCACTGAAGATAGCCATGTGTAATAGAAGGGTCACACTTAGAATGCCTATCATTTTGGTCTTCTAAATACGTACTTCTTGTCATGACATACAAATCATTACCATACTGTCTCACAAGTAAAAGTTTTTTTTTTTTTTTTTTTTAAATGGGTAATAAATGAAAAAAAGACACAAGGGAAAAAAAAAAAAAAAAAAGGCCACAGGACTGTCCTGCTACAATGCTGTATATGGTTAGATTTCTAAATTTCTGTGTGAAAAATATGTAATTGTGTATTCATATTCTTTAAATATTTTTCATTTTTAAAATTTTTATCTCCATATTCTGCAGGGACTTAATTTTTAACATATCAATACTTGATGGAAAATACCTGTTCCATGTTATGCCTAAGATGTTTGATATTCAGACAGATAGTGAAGTTAAACCCAACTGCATATGTTGTAGGGTAATAATAAGCTTCTCTTCTGGAGGGTTAACAACCTAAGTTTGCAGATCAAAAATTAGAGAAATAGAGGGGCTGCAAGG